GGCGTGTGAACATGGACACAAAACCAGGATCCCAGCTCTGTGTCGTCTTGAGTTTGTACTGACACAAGAAAACTCAGTGTTTTGTTAGTCTTCTGTCACTGATGACAAAAAAAAAAAACAACAAGCGTCTCCACTAATGGAAAGGTGAAACTCCATAAGTATTCGAGACCATTTGTGTAGAAATCCATTGAATCTACTTAGGTGTGAATAGTTGGTTCAGTCTTAACAGCACTTTGCTGTCTTAATATATTACTGCGAGGAGCACTTTTAATCCATTATCCAAATAAAATTCAGGCACTGTAGATTGTTTATTAGAGGAACACAGGATCCAATATTCTTGGCAGAATGTTTCTTTTTAGTAAAGGCATTCTTCCAGCTCATCTTTCAGTACACATTCTTTGGGCACAGTAAGTGCAGAGCAGAATCTGCAGGCTGGAATTCCTTGAAATGCTGGTAGGAGTAAGGTTTTAAGGAAGAGTTCGGAGTGTGACAGGAGTATGTGAATGCAGAAGCTATAAAATAAGTAAGTAGAACATGGCATATCAAAAGCACTTACGGCAGAGCAAAGGAAAGGGAAGGATAGTGCATGTTCGTAAGCTTGCCAGAAATACTCTGTAGAGTTACAAACAGCAGTCAGCTGGTCTCCTTAGAGATATTGAGGGTTCTTTTCTTTTTATATGAACTGTTAATTTTGAAATGGAGTTCTAGAGCTCTGAAGTAGATTTATCTTTCAATTACGAATAGCAAATAAAATCATTTGCATGGTAAGCTTGTATAAATAAACAGAGGCAGTCTAGGTTATAGGATTAAACATGTGGGCCTGAATTCCAGAGGCTTTCTTTAACCAGCTCTGCTGAATATTTATGCATGTTTTCACATCAGTTTCATCATGGAATGCACATGATGAGAATTATTTAACACTTTGTGTTCCACGGTTATGTTACATTACATTGACCAGTACTAGCCTGCTCTGTAGAAAGCTTCAGAGAAAGTTAGAAATTTGGTGAAAGAGCTGGTGGTTTTTTTGAAACAGTACTTGTTAGTGGAGGCAGATAAGGCAGAAGTGTGTTAATGCATCAACGAACCTGAGTATTTGTAGCTGCTGGGGTTCTCTTGGGTCCATGCTTTCACTTTTGTGATATTAAAATCTTTTTAATCATAAGGATTAAAATGTTTATTAAGTGATATGTTAGGGAGGATTCTGCATCTTGTACCTGTGTTTAATTAGGAAAGGAGAACGAATTGAGGAGTGGAGATAACAGAGTGGGAACTCAGCACAGTGGGAAATGTGTAATAATTGATCTTGGTTTACACATTTTAATTACCCAGCCAGGTTCACATAAAAGCAGAGGCAGCTGACAAAGCCGTCTGCTAATCCAGTTCTGTACATTTCTGTTTGTCCACTTCTGTGGCACAAGCTGGAATATTGGGAGGTCTTTTTTTATTTTGCTAAGCAAGGAGGTTTCCATAGCATTCTAGGTAAGAGTAGATAGATGGATCTGTGCCTGTCTTATAAAGCTGTGGGACATGTTTCTCAGGATCTTAGAAATTGCCTGAAAGCGCACTGGAACCAACAGAAATAGCGAGAAATTAGAATCTTCCCTCTGCCTGGCAGAAACACTGTGCTAGGTGGGGCTTTCCAGCCAAAGAAAGAAAACAGCAGTCTGAGAGTATTAAAACTACAATCAGGAGGAGTCGGGGGAGTGATAGAAGTCCACAAACAAATATAAATCAGTGTGGACAAAGTCTAAAACTAGTGGGTGGGATTGTTTGTAGTAAGTTCATAGAAAGGACAGTGAAGGAGGA